TTTTGCTGTCTTTTTAACATTATTTTATTTTTTTGTCTATTTCACAGCACCAAGAGGGAAACGGCAGTCATCCATTTTGTTCTCGTGTGACAGAGCGGCAGGCCGTGGAAGTCCTCAGCTGATGAGCGAAACCCAAGGATGTTCTGTCACCTTCCAGTGGCGAACGAATGTGGTCTGCCCACCCAAAAAGATGGAATGCAAGCTTGCAGGACAACACCAGACCTACGACCTGCGAACACTCTCATCTCTAACAGAGCCGTGGAAATTTAGCAACGGGGACGATTCGTGAGTTTCACACCTGTTTGTTCTGTACAATTTAATTTGCCCATCATGGGGTGTGAATGAACAATATATCATTGACAAAACCGTAATGGCCAGTATCAGCACATTTTTATTTACACATTTTTAATTCCTGGATCTTTAAATTGTTTTGTTTTTTTTCAATTTTTGTAGGCCATAACAGAGCAATAATTATCGACTATTTCAGGGATTAAAGTTCCGTCGCTATGACGGATTTCTGTCAGTTCATAAAGACAGTCACTTGCTTCATTCCTGAATGATTCAGCCGTTCGGACGAATCAATTGAAGGAATGATTCAGTGATAAAATCAGTGACTTGCCACCACCTGCTGGCGGATTTAGTTTCATTTTTAGCGTATCATTTCAGTTATTTAAATCATATTTCTGTATTCAAATTTGTATATTTAAAAAATTAATCTCCACATGAATTTATGAATTTAATTGCACTCATGCCACCTCTGAGCCTCATTAAACGTCTGAAAATGTACCTACAAGCCACTTTTGTGTTCCACCTCTGTAGTACAAATTAATTTATTAATACTAATTTCATATGATTGGTAATTTATTTGTCTACTTTTCTTTTTTTTTCTTTTTTACTTTCCTCTTTTCTATTTGTCTACTTATTATATTGCAGGGGTTAAAGCAAAAACAAAAAATCTTTTTACTGAAAATTTTTTTCCAACCACACCCAGTTTAAGAGCAGTTTTTTTCTTCTTGTAATTAGGAGCGCTTGTCCTCCTAATTAAAAAATTTAGGAGCACCTTATGATTAATAATCAAAAATTTGCCTTCCTAATACGAGGTGACATTTGACTCCTTAAAGTGACTTACAGGAGTATTTTCTTTTTACCTTTGTAATGGCATCATTTTCATCTGTCAAATTCAAAATTTTATGTTTATAATCTTTTTTAAATTTCTATTTAAAACAATATGTAGAATAATACAAATAAGTTACCAATCATATGAAATTAGTATTAATAAATTAATTTGAACTACAGAGGTGGCACAGAAGAACACAAAAGTGGCTTGTAGG